AACGCAACTTAGCACAACTTAACTTAGGGTAACATAACGCAACTTAACTTAGCTTAACTTAACACAGCTTAACTTAGTGCAACTTAACTTAGCGCAACTTAACTTAGGGTAACTTAACTTAGTGCAACTTAACCTAATGCAACTGAACTTAACGCAACTTAGCGCAACTTAACTTAGGGTAACGCAACTTAGCGCAACTTAACTTAGGGTAACATAACTTAACGCAACTTAGCGCAACTTAACTTAGGGTAACATAACGCAACTTAACTTAGCTTAACTTAACACAGCTTAACTTAGTGCCAACTTAACTTAGCGCAACTTAACTTAGCGCAACTTAACCTAACGCATCTTAACCTAACGCATCTTAACTTAATGCAACTCAACTTAGCGCAACTTAACCAAACGCAACTTAACCAAACGCAACTTAACTTAGCGCAACTTAACCAAACGCAACTTAACCAAACGCAAACTTAACTTAGCGCAACTTAACCTAACGCATCTTAACTTAATGCAACTTAACTTAGCGCAACTTAACCAAACGCAACTTAACCAAACGCAACTTAACCAAACGCAACTTAACCTAATGCAACTTAACTTAATGCAACTCAACTTAGCGCAACTTAACCAAATGTAACGTAACTTAGCACAACTTAACCTAACGCAACTTAACTTAATGCAATTTAACGTAATGCAACTTAATGCATTTTAATGCAACTTAACACAACGCAAATTAATGAAACTTTATATTTAAATATATATATTTAAATATAAATATACAAATATGCCAAAATTTAAATACACATTCAAAACATGTTTAGCAAAATGACTTAAAGTAAAAAAATCTATAATATAATATAAATATAATATAATATAATATAATATAATATAATATAATATAATATAATATAATATAATGTATGTGATGTATGATAAAATCTCCTAAAGTAAAGCAGTGTATATAGTATAGTGTATTTTACATTGTTCTGCAGTTGAAAGTAATATTGAAAGTAATGTGATCTCTGGATATGGTTTGTTTTGTTCGATGCAGCTGCGGTACAGACTCTGTTTGTGTGTGTTTGTGTTGCAGTGCTGGCTGGACCCGACCAAGGAGATCAAGCGTCAGATCCGCAGTACGTTCTGTTTTTCTCTCTCTCTCAATTCAATTCACTCTCTTTCTGATGAAGATGATGATGATGATGGTGCGGGTTTGGTCTGGGTGGGTTCGTGTCGTTTTCTCTGCATGACCGAGTCTCTGGCTCTGCGTCCGCACACACACACATCTGCGGCTTCAATAACTGCAATAATCAGAGCTGGAATGACGCACAGGGTGGAGAACGAGCAGATTCCTCATTCACATTCAGAAACACGGCCAAAACAACACTGATGGAGCACGTCTGTTTACATCACTGTCTTTAAACAGTCCCTTCACACATCCTCCGTCCAGCAGTGGCTTACAGCATGTAATGTTCGAAATATGTCGTTAAATGCTTTCCTTCATGCTGATGCTGATTTGAAGCTTTAATGAAGCATGAACAATTAGTCGAAATGATTTCACAGTAATTAACAACCATAAGCTCATTGTTAAATTAGGTGGAAACGGGCCATCATTCACAGGGTTCAGGTGATTTTGTTGATGTGTTTTTAGTTGTCGTTTTAATGATACCAGTGAATCTGCAGTCCAAGTGGGGATGGGAAGATCAGCCAAGAGCTGTGGGGGTGGAGAGGCCGGTGGCACCAGTGTTTAAATGATTCTTGAAATGTAAATAGAGTTTTTTAGATGTTAGTATCAGTATGGTGAGGATGTCTATAAGCTAGTGTGCTATAAAACTCATGTTTAGAAGATATAAAACTGATATAAACATTAGTTTCCAGTTAAGTTCGCCTAAATCAGGCCTGACCAACCCTGTTCCTGGAGATCGACCTTCCTGCAGATATGAGTTGCAACAAATCAAACTCACCTACGTGTAATTATCAAGTGCTGTTCAGGTCCTAATTAATTAGTTCAGGTGTGTTTGATCAGAGTCTGAGCTGAACTTTGCAGGAAGGTCGATCTCCAGGAACAGGGGTGAGCATCACTAGCCTAAATGGATCAGTGATTTTTGTTTTGTTGACGTCTACTCATATCTTAAGCTGCGTCCCAAATCGCATACTTATGCACTATTCTACGCCATTTTGTAGTATAAATAGTGCAAGTAGTGTGTTCACACTGAAAACTCTAATAATAATGAGCACTTTAATTACCCGGATGATGCACTCATTCAGCCGCTAAAATTAAGTGTGTAATGATGGACACTTCACGCACTCAACGACCGCAGGTTTGCTCACGTAGCTATCGGACGCACATGTTGAACAACTTTATTTATTTTGGATGGTGAAAGCAAAATTCTCCTACGAGAGTGATTATAGCGCCCCCGATGGTGAATGGGGTTATACTCATGGCAGGTATTATTTGATAGTTTGGTCGTTTATTTCACTGATTTAACAACCGTCAAACGTCATCAGGGAAACGGTTTGAATTTCCGCTTAGTAAAAAACATTAGTGCTCCATTTGGGACTCCACTACATACATGTACTATCCTGTTGAGTGTGTAAGTGCATAAGTACATAGTGCATGAGTGCATAGTGTGCCATTTGGGACGCTGCTTTAGTTTTTCATCAAATCTTCTGAGCAATCAAATGCTCTCTAATATCTGACATGCCTCGCCCTCTTCTTCTCATTAGCTGTTGATTTGATGTGCCTGAGCTTAGCCACTCTCACAGGCAGAGCTGTGAGAAAAACAAAACGCTATTGGCTGTTTTTTAAAATGGGGGAGGAGCTACTTGAGATAACGAAATATCGAATAAAAACGCTCATTTCAAAGCACTTTTTGCACCTTTAAGGTTCTGTTAATTTTCAATACTGCTGACACAATTGTACACATGTAAAATAAAGCTGAAAATTGTGAATGGAATGCATCGCCAATACAATATGATGCTCTGTGATAGCGGATTGTTAATGCGTGATTATCGGGTCACTTCCTGCTGTAGCAGTGTTTGAGCAGCAGTGTATCCGACACACACAGGTGAATCAGATGTATGTGTGTGTGAGTCAGCCTCTGTGTCTGGAGGACAGCTGAAAATAGAAAAACAGAACAGAAACGCTCCGGAGAGACGTCTGTCCTCCTTTCTCTCGCAGTGAAGGAGCTGCATCTGTGCTTTGGTAAAACTGCACTTACTCGGGGTCAGAGGTCAAGATGTGGCGATGCTATACAGTGTTTATGTGTGCTGTGAGTTCGCTTTGCTCTTTATTGTGATTCTTCATTCAGCTTCAGTGAAGTAGATCGAGAAGCAATTGAGGATGAAATTAAATCTTGAGTAAGTGTTTCAAAACAACACGCCGCGATATTGATGAAGGCCTTTAATGTAATTGTTAGTGTTTCTGATGTAACGATTCACTGTGTGCCAGAAAGTATTTTTTAAATCAGTAGGGGATTGTAAACGTCCAGAGACTTGAGCTTTAAAACATCTCGTATATCTCGTGATGTTTTTAAAACAATAAAAATCTCTTAATGAAAAAACACAGATATTGTCCTAGTTTGAAATTATATTAAAATGGATAATGATTGAAGCTAACTTATTTGTATTGTTCATATTTTATTTAATATGTCATTTATTTTAATAAACAAATAGTTTATTTATATTAGTTCCCCTACAGTTTACAGCAGGTAGAGTTTTATCCTGAAGAAAGTGATTGTAATTAAATGAGTGTGACTTCAAACCCAGGGTATGTAGCGTACATTTTTACTGCTATTACTAACTTTAAATTTAATTAAGTCGCTTTGATCCATCTTTGAAATGCCTCTCAGGCATTCGGTTTCAATTAGTAAACATCTAATTGTCCAAAACTTTTTTCCAAGTTTATTATTAAATTTCTTATTTGTATACGGCAATAAAATTTAAAAGCAACTGTCTCCTAACATTAGCTTCTATACGTTCGAATCTCATGAAAAACTGCATTTATTGAGGTTGCACAAGCTAACGCCTATGCGCGCATAAAGTGAATGAGGCTGTAGAATACACAAGACGTGTCACTCGTATAGTTTTCAATTGGGAAAAATGTAACGGTCAATATGGTGAATGAAGACCCGCCTACTTGTACAGGAGCCAATCATTGATCGCTATAAACCAATACAAGCCATTGATATATATAAGCCAAATCGATATTTCTCTGGGGGAGAAGCTCAAACCAGACTTGTGCTTTTTGTGAATGATCAGTGATTGGCTGCTTTACTAGTAGGCGGGGCTTCATTCGCCATATTGACTCTTAAAAGTTTCCCTGTTCAAAAATATACGAGTGACACATCTTGTGTATTCTAGAGTCTTTGCTATATTTAATAATAATAATTAATAATAATAATTAATATTTAAACAAAAAATAATATTTCAATTCTAGGAAAGCTGAAGAAAAAAGTCTAGAGGTGTTTAGATCTTTTTAACGTGGAGAGGTGAGAAAGGGGATGTTTTCTTCTGTCAGATGTGGAAAGCAGACTCGTGTCATTAGTGAAGCTCTTCTGGTGTAATGGGGTTTCAGGATGTGGGTCTTCTGTCAGTCGCGGGGCTGGTTTCAGATGTTGATTTGTGCAGGATGAACTGATGGCTTGACTAATGGACCGAACAGACATCAGGCTCCATCCTAATAACCACCGCCTGCCTCGACCCCCAATCCCTGCTCCACCCTCTCGCTGTCCGTGTCTTATTGAAAACTGTGCAGAAGTGAAAAACGAACACATTTAGAGACAGCGGCGACACTACATCAGGGCTGAGTGGTCGGGATTGTGAACAGCGCCCTCGATAGACAGACTAGATCAGGATTTTCTGGGAGCTTTTTCTGATTCTTTGCAGCTAAAGGGATAGTTCACACCTGGATCATATTACTGTCTTATTCAGATTAGGGCAAATCATTAGGTTACTGATAACCATGTAAACATAGTCACAAGCCCCAACCCTTGATAAAAAGGAGTTCAGTATTTTGATGTCAGCCTTTCCACAGGTTAGCAGTAAGCTAATGTAATTCCATAATGCAAATAAGTTCATGCTAACCAACAAATGATCAAAGGAAATATATTAATGTCATTCAAATATATATATAAAATATGAACTGATGTTTACTTTAATTATATTGTTCTATTAAAATTTAAGTTTTTTTTTTTTTTTTTTTTTTTTTTAAAGATTTTGTCAAATAAAAGATTTCTCTAGAGTCAACCACCATAATTTTGTGGCTCAAAAGTATCGGTTCAGGCACCGTTTTGGCACTGGTACCGTTTTAAAAGTATCAATGTAGCACCAGTATCGGAATAACCCCAAATGATACCCAACCCCAACAATGACTTATATAAACATTCATGAGCATCCAAAGTGCTGGATCTGTTTATGTAAAGTAATGTGTATTTATATAGCGCATTTATTGTGTATGGCCATACAGCCAAAGCACTTCACAATCATGAGGGCGGGGGTCTCTCCACACCACCACCAGTGTGCAGCATCCACTTGGATGATGCGACGGCAGCCACAGGACAACGGCGCCAGTGCGCTCAACACACACCAGCTATTGGTGGAGTGGAGAGACAGTGATCGAGCCAATTCGGTGGAAGGGGATGATTGGGAGGCCATGATAGTAAGGGCCGATAGAGGGACTTTGGCCAGGACACCGGGGTTACACCCCTACTCTTTCACGAGAAGTGCCATGGGATTTTTAATGACCACAGAGAGTCAGGACCTCGGTTTAACGTCTCATCCGAAAGACGGCGCCCACTGACAGTGTAGCGTCCCCTTTGCTATACTGGGGCATTAGGACTCACACAGACCACAGGATGAGCGCCCCCTGCTGGCCTCACTAACACCACTTCCAACAGCAATCTAGTGTTCCCTAGTGGTCTCCCATCCAGGTACTGACCAGGCTCAGCCCTGCTTAGCTTCAGTGAGTAACCGGTCTTGGGCTGCAGGGTGATATGGCTTTAGCAAAGATTTGACTGCGTCACTGCATGTCAGACCACTTAAAATTCTACAAAACGATATTACTAAAGCAATCTCCACTGTACGGAGAGAGTGCTTCTCTTCCTGTTAATCTGAATGTTTGCATCAGTGATGATGGAAGCGTGAGTGCAGGCTGTCAGGGGGAGAGAAAGGGGGCACAAACACGCTTCGTCACTGTTCAAGGCAAGTGTGCTTAGTGTAAGTACACCCTAAAAGGATTATAAATGCAGAGTTTTAGATGAAGCACAAATAAACCGTGACAGGAGTCTCCATGGACTGACACATTTTCACACACTGACACTGAACCACACATTTAAGCTTTTTTCCCCACAGATAACATGAGTCCTGTTTTGAATCTGCCGCTGTGCTGACACACAGGTGTTTGTAGCTCCGCCTTCTTTTAAAAAGAGCACAATCTCATTTGAGTTTACTCTGATTGGTTTCTGTTTTCTTTCTCTCTCTGTGTTTTCCCCATTAGACTCTCAGTGGCAGTTTGCGTTCAGTGTCAAGTTTTACCCTCCTGACCCGTCCCAGCTGACCGAGGACTTGACCAGGTACATGCTTCCACTGGAAAAAAAAAAGTTTTTGGTCTCTTTTCTAGAACAAAATCTAAAAATCTAAGTAAAAAAATAAAAAAGTATTTGTTTTCAGAAATAATAAGCCGAAGCAAGGTGACTTCAATCAAATGTCCTCCAGTATCTGACATGCCCCGCCCCCTTCTTTTCATTGGCTGTTTATCTCAACCACTCTCACTGGCAGAGCTGTGACAAAAAGGCTAATGGCTGTTTTCAAAAAGAGGAGGAGCTACTGTATTTCCCGCCTTCTCTTCTAGTTTTAATTGAGATTATGTCAAGCATCCAATAAAAATGCACATTTCAAAGCAGTTCACAGAATCTTTAAGGAAAAACCCTGTAAATTTGTACTTATTTCTGAAAGCCAGACAGCTTTTTTTGCTGGTGTAGAAACTGCTTCTTGATTTAATAATCTTTAAATATTTGGACTTGAAACGAGACGTTGTGTATGGCTGTTATTGATATGTTGTTTGTTTTGGGAAGTTTATGTGTGTGTGTGTGTGTGTGGTTTTGTCCCGCAGGTATCTGTTATGTCTTCAGCTGCGGCAGGACATCGCGTCGGGACGGCTGCCGTGTTCATTCGTCACACACGCTTTGTTGGGCTCCTACGCCCTGCAGGCCGAGCTGGGCGACCAGGACCCGGACGAGCACCGCCTCGACTACATCTCAGACTTCCAGTTCGCCCCAAACCAGACCAAGGAGCTGGAGGAGAAAGTGATGGAGCTGCACAAGTCCCACAGGTCTGACGGCACAGCTTCAGATACTGAGGCTCACCAAAGCCTTAAAGGCACAGTTCACTCACAAATTTCCACATCATTTCCATCAACTTTCATGAGTTTCTTTCTTCTGTTGAACACAAAGGAAGATACTCTGAAGGATGCTGGAAAAAAGCAGAGGAACACTAGAATGTCAAGGGATGTTGTTTTTCGGCATTCTTCAAAATTTCTTCCTTTGTGTTCAGCAGAAGACAATCAAATAGGTTTGGAGCAAGTGGAAGATGAATAAGAGCTGTCCCTTTAACCGCAGTTTTAGTGTTCTAGTTTCCTCCTGAATGGACAAACAGCTCATCATTTAACTCAGAAACTGTCTTGCATTCAATTAAAAATGGACAGCCATTTATTTTGGTCACTATAATAACCTATTTCTGTATTTTTGGATCATTAAAGATGTGGTTCACCAAATAATTGAGTTTTTTTTCTTCTGTTAAACATAAATGGAGATGTTCTGAAGAAAAAGCAGCCACTGGCATCCATAGTAGGAGCAAAAAATCCAGCGGATGTTAATGTCAAAAATGCTGTTTTTTCCAACATTCTTCAGAATGTCTTCATTAGAGTTCAGCAGAAGAAAGAAACGCTGGAATTAGTGGAGGATGAGGAAAAGATGTACAGAAACCATTCCTGTTTATGTAAAACCGATTCTAAAAAAAAAACTACACTCACCGGCCACTTTATTAGGTACATCTGTCTATGTGCTCGTTAATGCAAATTTCTAATCAGCCAATCACAAGGCAGCAACTCTGTGCATTTAGACGTGTAGACATGGTCAAGAAGATCTGCTGCAGAATGGGGAAGAAAGGGGATTTAATTGACTTAGAACGTGGCATGGTTGTTGGTGCCAGACGGGCGGGTCTGAGTATTTCAGAAACTGCTGATCTACTGGGATTTTCACTCACAACCATCTTTAGGGTTTACAGAGAATGGTCTGACAAAGCGGAAATATCCAGTGAGCGGCAGTTCTGTGGGGGCAAATGCCTTGTTGATGCCTGAGGTCAGAGGAGAATGGCCAGACTGGTTCCAGCTGATAGAAAGGCAACAGTAACTCAAATAAGCACTCGTTACAACTGAGCTCTGCAGAAGAGCATCTCTGAACACACAACACGTCCAACCTTGAGGCGGATGGACTACAGCAGCAGAAGACCACACCGGGTGCCGCTCCTGTCAGCTAAGAACAGGAAACTGAGGCTACAATTCACACAGGCTCACCAAAACTGGACAATAGAAGATTGGAGAAACGTTGCCTGCTCTGATGAGTCTCCATTTCTGCTGACACATTCAGATGGTCGGTTCAGAAATTGGCATCAACAACATGAAAGCATCGATCCATCCTGCCTTGTATCAACAGTTCAGGCTGGTGGTGGTGGTGTAATGGTGTGGGGGAGATTTTCTTGGCACACTTAGTGCCCATTTGTACCAATTGAGTATCATGTCAACGCCACAGCCTACCTGAGTATTGCTGCTGACCATGTCCATCCCTTTATGAGCACAATGTCTCCATTGTCTGATGGCTACTTCCTGCAGGATAACGCACCATGTCATAAAGCGCGAATCATCTCAGACTGGTTTCTTGAACATGACAATGAGTTCACTGTACTCAAATGGCCTCCACAGTCACCAGATCTCAATCCAATAGAGCACCTTAGGGATGTGGGGGAACAGGAGATTGGCATCATGGATGTGCAGATTTGTCTGTATAGTTAATAAACATTTTTCAGTGGTGACAAACTCTTAAGACACATTTAATTTTGACTTTACACAAACGTTATTTAAGTGGTCTTAAAAATGCATTGATTTAATTAAGTGCACTGTTGGCAAGCTTCAGAGCCAAGCTTATGCTGACTGATTGCTTATGATTTCCTGCTGATGTCTTATGGTGAGGTTTACTTTAGGGTGCTTGTATTTTAATGTGTTGTAGATGATTATAAGAGTGCGGAGCCAATACTACTTTAAAGGGCACCAATGATGAAAATCAACTTTTGTAGTCTGTTTGGACAGAACTGTGTGTAGGTATAATGTGTCTACTGTCATATTGGACTCATATAAAGACAAAAAGTCTCTTTTTTTCTAATTTTCCTGACATTAAAATAGGAACCAAATCCAAATGGTTTTGAGGCCCACCGCAACATGACATGCTGTAGAAGTGCGGTTTCCCCTCTCACCGAATTGATAGACAGCCTCATATTCACATATTTCCATTGTAACACATGTCCACAGAACAGGATTTGCAAAGAAACTGGGATTAAAAGATCTGTTCAGCTCTCTGTGATCAGCTGCAGCTCAAGAATGAGTTTTGCAAGTTTAAAACATTTCTGAAAAAGATCAAGGTTTTAAATTAAGACCGTAGAATTGATGTTATTCATAACCACTGGAATGACCATGCATTAGTGTGTGACTTATCATTGCAGAAAGGCTTGAATAAACTCCACTACACACACTTCAAATATTCTTACTTGGTATTTTGAGTCATAAACTGGATCTCTGCTCATGCGTGTCTGCCTGTCACTGACTGCTGTTTATCTGACAGGAACAGTGGGTGGAAACAGAACCAGCTCATTTGCATTTTAAGGCACCGGCTACAAAAATGGCGGCATTTTCCTCTGAGTCCAAAATGGGAATATTCTGCATTTTCTAATAAATGATCTGATGGGTACTTTGAGCTGAAACTTTACAGACACATTCTGGAGACACCAAAGACTTATCTTACGTCATGTAAAAAGGGTCAAATAAGAGCCCTTTAAAAGTGCATTTGCTCTTCTAAATGAAACAAACAGATATTAATAATAATCTTTTACAAATGAGGATCACTACACAATCCTTCTAATAATCAAAATAACAAAAAACTGATGTAAAATAACTAATTAAGATATGCAGTAAACCAATAATAACGTCTGTCTCTCTTTTAGGGGAATGACTCCAGCCCAAGCAGACGCCCAGTTTTTGGAAAATGCCAAGAAGCTGTCCATGTATGGTGTAGACCTGCATCACGCCAAGGTACGCCATCTCCAGTAGTCATGGCATATTCAGATTATATTCAAGAATGTAATTAAGTCATTAATTAAATTACCATGTAATAAAAAAAACACATGCATTCAAAATAAGTAAATACATAATCAATTAAAATTATTATAATTATATGCAAGCAGGATGGACCGTTTTAATGGCCTTTCTATTAGTACGATGTTGAATAGTGCAGTTTTGTTTGAAAATGTAAACTTATGAATACACACTACCTGACAAAAGTCTTGTCGTGGATGCCAGTTGTAAGAGCAACAAACAATAACTGGACTTCTAATTGATCATTTGGAAACGTGGCAGAATTTTCCCCATGAGTCATCTGTTGATCTGCATCCCAATCATCACTAATACTGCTGAAGACCAACTGGAACCAGCATGGACTCAAGATTCTCACAGAAATCAGTCAAGTTTGGTAAGGGAGAATGCATGGTTTGGGGTTACATTCAGTATGGGGGCGTGCGAGAGATCTGCAGAGTGGATGATCAACATCAACAGCCTGAGGGATCAAGACATCTGTGCTGCCCATTACATTACAAACCACAGCAGAGGGACAATTCTCCAGCAGGATAGCGCTCCTTCTCATACTTCAGCCTCCACATCAAAGCTCCTGAAAGCAGAGAAGGTCAAGCTGCTCCAGGATTGGCCAGCCCAGTCACCAGAGATGAACATTATTGAATAAGTCTAGTGTAAGATAAAGGAGGAGGTGTTGAAGATGAAGCCAAAGAATGTTAATGAACTCTGGGAGTCCTGCTGAACACTTTCTTTTCCATTCCAGATGACTTTATTAATCAGTGATTTGAGTCAGTGCAGAGATGTATGGATGCAGTCCTCCAAGCTCATGATGGAGTCAGACACAATATTCATTCTGTCTCCACTGCAGCAGGACTTTATATTCTATACTGGACATTATTTCTGTTTAGTGATGAGACTTTTGTCTAAGCAGAGTCAGACCTTACTGTCCTAATGAAATTATTAATAATCCAGGCATGATCAGATTTAATTGTGATCAAATAAGCGTCATCTAGAGGCCTTTGCCTTTCATATAAGCCACTTCTGATACCAAATGATCAACTAAAATTATTATTTACTTTTCCTAAAACTTGGATAGGCGACAAGACTTTTGTTTGTTAGTCTACTACTTAACCAACCAAATAAATAATTAATTTTAATGATCATCACTGCTGAAAGTGTCTGCAGGATCTGAATCACAGCGCTCAAGTTTCTCACTCATGACTTTTCTATCTGGCCTTTATTTTTAATCTATAAATAATAAAAACACTGTGACTTGTCATGTGATGCTGACCTCATGTGCTCTTTTATCTTATACATTTGAGGACCTGCCAAAAACCATATAGTGTTTTTTTTTTTTTTATTGTGTCCTGATAAGGAAAAGCATGACATTTAATAGGGGGTGCTAACTTTTTCACACGACTGCATATTCTTCAGTCAGCTGCAGTTCACTGCTTTCACATAAATCAACCCGTTGGCTTCATGCACGGATCGGCCATTTTTTTCGTCATTATCGGTGTGCTCTGTGATCCACTGACCTCTAATCCGGCGAGAACAGCAGAGGAAGAGTTCAGCTGAACAAACACAGACAGTGTGTGTTTGTGTGTGTGTCCGGCAATGAGAGTCTGGGAAAAATATGCTGTTGCCATTCTTAAACTCTCAGAGGAATATCAGTGCTTTCCCAGTGGGACTCATCACATGCCCTTGTCCCAATCATTTGTCTTTCTGTAGAGCTTTTCTGAAGCCTAACTTCTCCATCGAGATGTTTACACAACTAAATTTAGAGCAAACAATTAAATGTGCACAAGTTTTGACCTGTGTTGAACACACATTATACATTCCTGCATAAAACATTGCTGGGTCCGAGACCGCATACTTCCATACTATACAGCAGGGGTCACCAATCTCGGTCCTGGAGGGCCGGTGTCCCTGCAGGGTTTAGCTCCAACTTGTCTCAACACACCTGCCTGAGTGTTTCAAGTATACCTAGTAAGACCTTGATTAGCTTGTTCAGGTGTGTTTGATTAGGGTTGGAGCTAAAATCTGCAGGACACCGGCCCTCCAGGAACAAGTTTGGTGACCACTGCTATACAGTATGCTAAAATTTAGCCGGCAGCTAGCTCTCTGCAACTCTCACATGGTTGCCCACTGAAGCTAAGCAGGGCTGCGCCCGGTCAGTACCTAGATGGGAGACCACATGGGAAAGCTAGGTTGCTGCCGGAAGTGGTGTTAGTGAGGCCAGCAGGGGGCGCCCAACCTGCGGTCTGTGTGGGTCCTAATGCCCCAGTATAGTGACAGGGACGCTATACTGCTCAGTGAGCGCCGTCTTTCGGATGAGACGTTAAACCGAGGTCATGACTCTCTGTGGTCGTTAAAAATCCCAGAATGCCCTTCGAAAAGAGTAGGGGTTTAACCCCGGCATCCTGGCCAAATCTGCCCACTGGCCTCTGTACATCATGGCCTCCTAAACATCCCCATATTTAATTGGCTTCATCACTCTGTCTCCTCTCCACCAATCAGCTGGTGTGTGGTGTGTGGTTTGGCGCAAAATGGCTGCCGTCGCGTCATCCAGGTGAATGCTGCACACTGGTGGTGGATGAGGAGATCCCCCCCATTGTGTAAAGCGCTTTGAGTGCCCAGAAAAGCGCTATATAAATGTCAGGAATTATTATTATTATTAAATCTGACAGCGCATGCACAGTATGCTGGGGTACCTTTGATTGTGAAAACCATTCGGGGGTGCGTTTCTGAAACCACCATTAGCCAAGTAAAGTCGGAAGTTGCATCGTCACAAACATAGTTCGTTAATTTGGTGTTTCCCATATACATCATTCCAACAAGCATTCGCAAACTGGGTAGCAAACTTGTATGCTTGCAACTACACCTCTGGAGCTGTAGTTACTGTGCGTTCACACTCAAAGCGTTGCAAGCATCCAAGGTTGCTCTGGCGACAACGTTGTCTGCCTTCAGCTTTGGCGGCGAGAGCGTCAAAATTTGCTACATTAATCTCTTATTTAAAGGGGCCGTTGCAGCATATCATATCAGTTACATTCCTGCATAAAACATGGCTGCGTCCGAAACCGCATACTATACAGTATGCTAATATCAGTATGCGAGGCGGGTAGTATGTCCGAATTCATAGAATTCGAAAAACAGTATACGAGAAGTACCCGGATGACTTACTACTTCCGGTGAGATTCTGGAGTGTGCATCCCATGCACGCTGCGCTATCCCATGATGCCCCACGAGTGAATTCATGAATGGGAGTAAAGCGACTCAAATGACACAGGTATGTCACGTGACTATGTCAAAATGTCAGATGTAGTACGTGCGAATTCCGTTCATACTTTTCATATTCATACTGTGTAGAATGCACTTTGTGTGGTTTATTCATAAACTAATTTCGAGAGGATCACGTGCTTATAATCAACACGGCTGGCTCCTTGTTAGCTCCGTAATCAGCCCTATTAAATGATTACGGAAGCATTATAAATAGCCTGAGTTTTTCACTCCAGTTATCTTCGTCTTGAAGCTTTCCCCCCTTTCCACCCCTACATCCTCCCACTTTTTCTGATCGGGCGACACGGTGGCCCAGTGGCTAGCACTGTTGCCTCACAGCAAGAACACTGCCGGTCCAACCCATCGGGCCGGTTGGTGTTTCTGTGTGGAGTTTACATGTTTTCCCCGTGTTCGCGTGGGTTTTCCCCGGGTTCCCCGGTTTCCTCCCACCATCCAAAAACATAAACCATAGCCAATCGACTAAAACAAATTATCACCCAATACAACCTGAGTTTACACTTCTCACGGTGACAAGCAGGGGAGTTCTCGAGACCTACCTGACCTCGAATTCCCCTCTCGCCCTTCTAATGGGAGGGAGCCCCAGGCTCGTGAATATTACGAGCTCAGGGCTCTCTCCCGGGACAGCATGCCAAATACGCTTTATTGATTATCAGCTAAGTGTGAACTCTTGAATCTAACGACCGAGTAGTACGTTTAAATTCGAATGCAGTACCTTCTGAGTAGTAGGCGGTTTCGGACGCAGCCAAAGCTTTCTAGCGTGAAAATGTTGCACACTCCTTATCAAACTTATTTAACAATGGAAGATCAACTTGCATGTGGTTTTTCTTTGCTCCACTTAATTATCCTATATGCCTGAAATATCCTGAAGCAGCAGTACTATTTTGTACTGTCGCATGAGATTCCCACTTTTTTAAAGATTATTATCTAAAAAAATCGCGATTCTCATTTTAAGCCAGTATCCTGCAGCTCTCGGTCAAACCATGATTTTTATAGTCGTTTCTTGAAGACAATGAGTGACTCTGCTGTTCTGATGCAGTTAGGGAGTTCATTCCACCAACTGGGCAGATTAAATCGAGAGTTCGGGAAAGTGATTTCTTCCCTCTTTGGGATGGAACCACGAGGCGACGTTCATTCACAGAACGCAAGTTTCTGGAGGGTACATACATCTGCAGAAGTGAGAGCAGATCAGAAGGAGCAAAGCCAGAAGTCGCTTTGTAAGCAAACATCAGAGCTTTGAATTTGATGCGAGCAGCAACCGGCAGCCAGTGCTAACGGATGAGCAGCGGAGTGACATGTGCTCTTTTAGGTTCATTAAAGACCACTCGTGCTGCTGCGTTCTGAAGCAGATGAAGAGGTTTGATAGAGTTAGCTGGGAGCCCGGCTAGTAGAGAGGTGCAATAGTCCAGTCTGGAGAGAACAAGAGCTTCTGTTAACCTGTGTCTACAGAGTCACACACAAGCTGATATTTTTTTCAGTGTGTGGTACATTCCCTTTTTGTAAAGAGTCTGTAATTGTACATTAGTTTGGGGACTAGTAAAAGTAAAAGTGTTTTGCGTCACCGTACAGTAAGGCTTTTAATATATAGTAGGTTATTTATTAAGTATCTGTACTGTATAAGGTTAGAACATTTTTGCCGGGGTTGTGATGAAGAGACTGTCCCAGTGCGGAAAGCATCTGTGTGTTGTGCGTTTGGAGGCTGTGGAGATTAGTGATTTGCAGATGAGCAGGTCATGTCAGTGTGTGTGTGAAAGATCGCCCTGAGCTCTGATCCTGTTAAAAGCCTCTTGCGGAGACACCAAGTCTGAGTTCAGCCGCTTATCGGCCACATTGATTTCTCTCAGAGCCGCACGCTTAACACAGCCGGATCAATAATCACGGCCCACAAGCCTCCGCAATAAAGACCCGTTTATGGCGTTACGTAAAAGATAAGTGCTCGAGTGGCTGCAGTGATGGAGAATCACATTAAAACATTGAGGGAGTTTCTGATGATTTGATTCACAATTGATTTTTCATATTATTATCGCTTATACAGTGGGTGTGGAGAGTATTCAGACCCCCTCTGAGTTTTCACTCTTTGTTATATTGCAGCAATTTGCTAAAATATTAACAAACATTTTTGCAGATTTACCAAAAAAGAAAAAGGGAAATATCACATGGTCATAAGTATTCAGACCCTTTGCTCAGTACTTTATCAGAAGCCCCCTTTTGATCAAATACATTCGAGAGTGTATTCGGGAAAGATGTACTGTCACTAGTTTGGATTAGGGTTTCCTCTGTCATTCCTCCTTACAGATCTCCTCCAGTTCTGTTGGTTGTTTGGTAAACATTGGTGGACAGCCATTTTAGGTCTCTCCAGAAATGCTCAATATGGTTTAAGTTAGGGCTCTGGCCTGGCCATTCAATAACAATGACCTCAAGTCTGATTACTTTTCTTAACCACTGTATATTGTTTACAACAAAGAAAAGTGCACGTTACTACTGATGAATGTTCAATGTTGATAGTTCAATACAAGCCAAGCTGCGGGGGTACCAGAGCACCCAGAGGAAACCCACGCCAACACAGGGAGAACATGCAAACTCCACACAGAAATGCCAACTGACCCAGCCGGATCTCGAACTTGGAACCTTCTTGCTATAATCTTACAGAACTCACCACTGAGCCACCATGACACCCTGCAGACAGAATAAAAGACATGCGCCCGTTATTGTTGCGCTGTTTGTGATTGTAATATCGTGAGTGTTTTGAGGTGCTGATGGTCGTGATGGTGTGTGTTTGACAGGACTCTGAGGGAGTGGACATCATGTTGGGAGTGTGTGCGAACGGTTTGTTAATCTATAAGGACCGTCTGCGGATAAACCGCTTCGCTTGGCCCAAAATCCTCAAGATTTCCTACAAGCGCAGCAACTTCTACATCAAGATCAGGCCGGGAGAGGTGCGACACACACGCATACACACACACACACACACACACACACACACACACACACACACACACACACACACACACACACACACACACACACACACATTTACACATAGACACATGCACATATACACACACATGCACAAACAAATACAAATACACACTTAGGCACACACAGACACACAAACATACGCATACACCCACACACAGACACATGCACTCACGTACACACACAGAAACATGTAGACACGCGCACACACACACATGCACGCATGCACACACACATGCATATATACACAAACACATGCACACACACATGCACGCATACACACACACACATTTACACATATGCACACATGCATGCACACGTACGTACATGCACATATTTATGCACACACACACATGCACGCATACACATGCACACACATACACGCATACATGCATATATATACACATGCACGCACACACACATGCATACACCCATACACAGACACACACACATACATGCGCATACATATACAGTACACATACACACGCACACATATTAACAGACACACAAACATATGCATACACCCACACACAGAAACACACACGCATGCGCACATGCATATACATATACACACACAATCACACACATATATCCACACACAAACATACGCTTACACACACAAATACATGCACATACACACTCAGACACATGCACTCACATACACACACACACACACCTCTGCCTGACCGACACTGACCTCTTTTACCATGAATATACCCATCACTTGTGTGTATGTAGATGTTGATCGTGTGTGTGTGTGTGCTTGCGTGCATGTGCGTGCATATGCGTGTGTGTGTTTTAGGCTGAGCAGTTCGAGAGCACCGTGGGCTTCAAGCTGCCCAATCACCGCGCTGCCAAAAGAGTCTGGAAAGTGTGTGTGGAACATCACACCTTCTTCAGGTGAATCTCACACACACACACACACACACACACACACACACACACACACACACACACACACACACACACACACACACACACACACACACACACACACATATACACTCACACACACACACACACACACACACACTCACTCACACACACACACTCACTCACACACACACACACATACTCTCCCTCTC